TTTTGTCGACGCCGGGCGCTCTCGCCAGACCTCGGGCCTGGGGGCTCTCATCGCGAGTCGGTCCCAGCTCGGACAGTGTCGCAGGGAGCTCTGGCCCCTTGGTGCTCCTCCAGCCGTGCTTTCCCACGGTGCTGCCACGTCTTCGCGTCGTCGTCGCCGCCGCCTGCGCGGAACACGCGGCAGCCTCGCGCCGCGGAAGAGTCGCGGCGGCGGGGCTCTCAGCAGTCTTCGGCGCCTGCAGATGGGGCGCCTGCTTGGGCCCCAGGGAAGAGGCCGAGGCCTCTGGGGTCCCAGACCTCCTCGCGCGGTGCGAACAGGCATCCTGCCACTCTCCGCCAGCAGCCAACGGGCACTCCTCTTCATCTTCCTCCTCCTCCTCCTCCTCCTCCTCCTCCTCCTCCTCCTCCTCCTCCTCCTCCTCCCCCCTCCTCATCCTCCTCCCCCTCCTCCTCCAGCAGCCAACGGGCACTGCTGGCTGGAGCGGCCTCGGGAACCCCGGTCCTCGGCACTGGCTCTTGCAGGTGCTCCTCGTCGGCCCCAGACCCCGAACGCACGGACTACCCCGGGCGCCCCTGGACGCTCTCGCGTCGCACTACTTTTGCAGAGGCCTCGGGGGCGTGATTCGGAATCCCAACCTTCTAACATGCCCTCGGCTGACTCCTGTGCTCTCTCGTAGGCCATTGGGGCCATTGGAGGCTCTTACCCTACTGGCCCAAGAAGCCAAAACAATTGAAAGGTATTGAATACTCATGTGGTTTGAGTTTTGTTGCTCCTTCTGCCTTTAGACCGTGCGAGTCGGCTCAATAGATCACCCCAACCGCCGCAGGACAGCACCTGAGCCTCCAAGAGGGGGCCCAAGAGGATGCAAAAAGGATAAATTCGCAGGAGCTCAATTCGCTCCACCAGCGGCTTCCACCTGGCCCTCAGGAAGCCCCTGCAAGCCCCCAAGAGTCATTCCCAGAAGCCCCCAAGCGCAATTTCAAGAAACCCCGAAATTCTGCCAAGAGGAAATTTTCATCCACAACCCAGCCACGGTGGCGGGTTGGGCCGCAGGACAACGAGTCGCCCCCTTTTGCGTGCAAAGGGGAGTTCGGTGTGCCAAATTTTCGGATAGATTGCTCGGCCCTTCCGCGAGCTCCCAATTGCATCTGACTAAAACTGCAGGCCACCCGGAAAAGAAGGAAAGGAGGTTCCTCCGTCTCCAGGACGCGCCCAAGATGACCCCCAAGATGGCCTCGGATACGACCCTACGTAGACCAAGAGGGCTTCCAAGACGACCTAAGACGCCTCGAACACGGCTAAGATAGCCTCCGAGTCGGACGCGACGACTCCAAGACGGCCCAGAATGACCTCAAGACTGAGCCAAACCGCCTAGTGGCCCAAGAGGCCCCCAGGACGCTCCCAAATGCTACCTGCAGCAGTGCCCGCACAGGCCAGAACCATTGGTTCTAGCGCGATCCCCCAAAGACGGCCCAAGACAGCCCAAGAGGCCCGCAAGAGAGACCCAAGACTGCCCAAGAGGCCCCCGAGAAGGCCCCACGACGGGCCAATATGGCTTCAAGACGGCCCACAAGGCCGCCAAGACGGCATTCCAGCTGGGGGAACACACAATCCAGTAGCTTGGCCAAACATTGCCTCAACGACTGCGAACGCACATAGTATGATACGTGCGCCTAACTTCGCCCCGTTCTTCCTACGGGTCTCCACAACGGCTGAGGACAAAACATAGTGTGACACGATGGCCAAACTGTGCCCCTTTCCCGCAAGGGTCTCCACAAAGACACGGCAGGCCAAGAGGACCATCTTGACGACAGAGTTGGCCCACAATGGCCTTCAAGCTCCAAGACGGCTTAAAGAGGCCCTAAAGATGCCTCTGAAGGCGTCAAGACAGACAAGCAAAGCCAGAAGACGGCCCGCGAGGCTCCCACGATGCCCGGAAAGGTACCAAGAGGTCCTCAAGAGGCCCCGAAGAGGCCCAGAAGAGACCACAAGAGGGCCCGAAGAGGCCCAGAGAGGGTACCAAGAGGCCCTCAAGAGGGGGCCCAAAGAGGCCTCCTCGTCGTCCTCGTCTTCCTTATCCTCCCTTTCCTCGGCCTGCCCTTCTTCCTCACCCACATACTCCCCCAAGGGGCTACACAACGGCTGGGGGACCACATGGATCAAAATACTGAACAAAGTTTAGCCCTATATTGGGCAGGGCTTTCCAGAAAGGCAGGGGGTGACGGTTTTTCGCCAGAGGCGTACTCGATCAAATGATATACACGTAAAGCAACCTCGCCTGCAACGCTTACGGCGGACATTCCCTTTGCGTGTTTAGCAAGCTTGACCCCTCGCAAGGTTTCCCCAGCCAATCTCGGACACGATCGCTCTGGACTGCACGCTTATTTGCAGCCATGTGTAAGTTCTCAGCAGCAAACGTTACAAGCATACGCGCCGCCGCCGCGCCACCGACCTGTCAACCCTCTCTCCATTGTAAATATCAGCCTGTTTGGAACGAGTCTAAAGCAGCTTTCTGGTCCGAGCTGCAGTAGCCTATTCAGCGACACTCGCCCTGCCTGTATTCTCACGGCTCGTTGCTTCACTCGCCTGGGCCTGCACATGCAGGAACAATGCACACGGACCATACAACTGAGAAGCACAACGACCACCGACCCACTACCTCATGGAATATCATTTGTTGAAGGGTATGATTGGACAGGGCATCAACAAGCAGTGGTTCACTGTGAATGGCAACGAAACAAGAGGGCGTTGGATTCGTGTCTGTGGAGTGCTCCCCGAGGCAGTGCATGAGCAAAGGGATGGCTCTCTGATGCAAAAATGCGCGACGAGAAAGAATAGGCCTCACGCGAGATGGCACAGCGACCCTAAGCGGCGGTTTACGCGGACCACCAGCGCGGTACGCGTCGTCGTCGGAGACGAGGCCGCTTACGAGCGGCCTTACGCGGGCAGCTTGCGCACCAATGCCGGCGCAGACGAACCCGTTTTGTTGCGTCGCCCAGATGATGCCTCGTCACTTGTGAAAAACTCTGGACCCGACAACAGCACCGACGACGACTTCAATCTGCATAGCCACACACACACACACACCAGGCAGCTTGTTACATCGTATCTCCTGTACACCATGAGTCATGAAGCCTAGGTCCTTCAACAATTTCTCTACGACAACTTGCCAAATGTGTTCGTCCAGTGAGTCGATAGCCTCCTCAACCTCTTGTATCTACTTTTCTGGAGCTTCCGGCCTTTTGGCGCATGTGCACGATAGATAATCTAGCGGCATCAACTCTGCAATAGAGACTAGGCCACTGCGGGTCCGGGATTCCAGCCAGACCCAATCGGACCGAGTGGGTGCAACCGATGTATCCAGAAGCCGTTGCCAAGAATTTACTCTTGCCATAGCCGTTTGGCACGGAAACCGCGCGCACACTTCTGCGCTCCAGAACTATCCTGGATGCGCCAGAAGAGATCGTTCGCCTCCACGCAGCAGAATACTTTCCAGCTGCATGTGGGAACCGAAAGCAGAACCATCGACGCAGCGAACTCGCACAACGACAAGCACATCAACGCACGTGAGCAGAATGCTCACCGAAACAGACCTACCGCGTGGCCCACGCGACCACAGCCTGGGATGAAGGCCGGTGATGCTGACAATCACGATGGCCACGGCGACGGCGACGATGACGACGACGACAGCGGTGGGAGGCCGACGACTGTTCAGCAGGCTCAGGCGCGGCCCAGGAGTCAGCAGTCCAGCCTAAAGAGCTGCCGCGGTCGCTGCAGCAAGAATTCTCTTCGCACCCCCCCCCCGACCTGGAGGCGGGAATGCCCCGCCCTCGCCCTCCTCCTCCTCCTCCTCCTTCCTCCCTCCTCCTCCTCCTCTGCTCCTCCCTCCTTCCTCCTCCTCCTCCTCCTCCTCCTCCCTCTCGTCCTCGTCCTCCTCCTGCCTCCTCCTCCTCCTCCTCCTCCTCCTCACTCCTCCTCCCGCCTCCCCCTCCCCCTCCTCCCCTCTCCTCGCTCCTCCTCCTCCTCTTCTTCTCCTCCCTCCTCCTCCTCCTCCTCCTCCTCCTCCTCCTCCTCCTCCACCTCCTCTTCCCCCTCCTCCCCCTCTTCCTCCCCCTCCTCCTCCGCCCCCGCCCCCTTTTCCATCCCAGGCGGCCATCCCAGGCCTCGCCCCTCCGGTCGCTTCTCGACGGCCTCCCGAAGCCCAGCGGCGGCCCCCCAGAGGCCAAGAGCGGCCCCAGACCTGCCGCCGCGAGCTCTGACACGAGGGTCTGGGCCTGGGGGGTGACGGAGGACGGAGGAGGGGGAGGGAGGAGGAGGAGGGAGGAGGGAGGAGGGAGGAGGAAGGAGGAAGGAGGAAGGAAGGAGGAAGGAGAAGGAGGAGAAGAGGAGGAGGAGGACGTAGAGGAGGAGGAGGAGGAAGAGGAGGAGGAGGAGGCGGAGGAGGAAAAAGGAAGAGGGGGAGGGAGGAGGGAGGAGCAAAACTGGGGAGGAGGAGGAGGAGGAGGACGAGGAAGAGGAAGAGGAAGAGGAGGAGGAGGAGGAGGAGGAGGAGGAGGCCTCGGCAAATCGGGGGCTGCTACAGTTGTTCCTGGCCCAAGGTACCCCCAGCTTGTCGCTCCACTTTGGAGCCCCATGGGGCCCTCGGGGCCTCGTGAGGGGTGCTCTGGAGGTCGTGGGGGCCTCCCGGGAAATCCTGGGGGCACCTCGGGCCAGGCGCACGTTCTGGCAGCAACACCCGATCAGAAGGCACCCAGGCTTCGCAGAAGCCTTCCGAGAAGGCCCGCCCCTCTCATTTCTATGACAAAGAAAAAACGGCATGGACTTAGACTTTTGGCGTTCCGCGCGGATTTCGTGGATCTGCGGCGGACCCCCTCCCTGGCGCGCACTGCGCGCTAAGGGCCGCACCGGAGGCGCCGCCAAGGAGGCCCCAGCGCGGATCCAAGAAATCTGCGCGGACCGCCAAAATTTTATGTTTGTCGCGTTTTTCCTTCTGCTCACACGGTAGCCCAAGATAAACTATGCCGTCGGCATTCCAGACCCCTCTCAAAGCACTGTCCAACAACAGAAACGCAATTTCATGGTTCGCTAACCCCTTCTCTCTCCCCCCTCCTCCCTTAGAGGCCTCCTAGGTGGGGTCGGAGTAGGTGGGGTCGGAGGATCGCGCCGCATCGCCAAATCATCGCTCGGCGATGCCTCGGCGATGCCTCGGCGATACATCGGCGATGCATCGTCGACGTCGGCGACGCATCGGCGACGTCATGCATCGGCGATGCGGAGCGATCCTCAGACCCCATCTAAGGAGACCTAGACTCCCCCTCCCTCTCCGAGCCAAGACTTCTTCGAATTCCCCCCCAGGCGCGCCGCCGATCGGCGGCGGGCCCCGCGCGGCCGGCTCGGGACACCAGCGGGCGCGCGCCATCGCCGGCGCTTCTCCCGCCTCGATCGAGGGCGGCGGCGGCCCGGGGGGCCCTAGAAGTCGTAGTCGCTGCCCCCCTGCGGAGGCCTGCTCCCGAGCCCGGCGAAGCCCTCGTCCGAGGCCGAGTCCCCGTCGTCCTGGGAGGCTGCGGAGGAGGGGGAGGCGGAGGAGGAGGGGGAGGAGGAGGAAGAGGAGGAGGAGGAGGAGGAGGAGGAGGAGGAGGGGAGGAGGAAAAAAAAGAGAGGAGGACGACGAGGAGGAGGAGGAGGAGGAGGAGGAGGAGGATTCTCATCAACCTGCCAAGACGCATACCTGGGTGGTCGGCGCCACCACCCAGGCTCGCTGCACCACAAGCGTCAGCGGGGGGCCAGCGCTGGACCTGACCAGAACTGGACCCCCCGACCGTGCAGTGCACCCCGTGGATCGTGAAGTACAACCCCGAGGAGAGTACCTCCAGGACCACGGCGCGGAGGAGCAGCGCCGCCAGGAAGGAGAACGGGCCTACCCAGCCCAGCACGTCGGAGGACCAACTCGACGCCGCCTGCCGCCGCCGACAGCTCTCAATGAGGTCGTCCGTCGCCGCTGAGCTTGTCTCCCCCTCTTCGAGCAAGCGCCGTGCTCGCTCGCGCACGTCGAGCTCCCCGAGGTCGCCGTGCGGCCCGATCTTGACCGTCGAGGCCGCTATCACCCCACCCACCGACGCCACCGCGCCCGCGGCAGCACCAGCAGCAGGCCCCAAGGGGGCCGCGACGCGGAGCTCGTCAGCGAACTCGTCGTCGAGATCGGTGGCAGACGAGGGCATGGCGGCGACAGCTTCGCGAGTTGGCTCCGCAGACACCGCCCGCTGCCGCACCGGAGGAGCGTCGGCCGACGCGCGCCCAGGCGCCGCGGGCGCCGAGTCGCGCAGGGGGAGGCCGCCAGCCAGCAGGTCCACGTCCATGCCGGAGCCCGCGCCTCCCGCGCCGTCGCCGCCAGCCGCCGCATCCCGCAGGGGCCCGCCCTGCGGCGTGCGGGTAGCCGCGCCAGCGCCCCGCCCCTCCTCGTCCTGCCGCGCGTCGCCGCCGTCGCCGCTGTTGGCGTCGCCCGCATCAGCGCCCGTCCCCTGCGGCCGCGAGGCCTGCGCCGCCTCCGAGGAGGCGCGGCAGGCGCAGCAGCGCCAGCGGGGGGAGGGTGCGCCTGCGGGGCCGCCAGTTCGGCGACCGCGGCGCGCAGCAGGCCCTCGGCCGCGCGCAGCAGCCGCGCGCCCGGCGCGCCCGAGCGGGACGCGCCTGCCGCGAGGCCGCTGGCGGCATGGGCCGCCAGGAGAGCGCCGCGCGCCGCCTCCAGGGCGCCGCAGCGGTCGTCCGCCGTCGGGCCCAGCGAGGCGCTGCGTGAGCCAAAATGCCGACTTGAGCCAAAATGGCTACGGAGGAGGAGGAGGAGGAGGATCGAAGAAGAAAAAACACCATCAACATAATCTTTAGCGGTCCGAGCGGAGTTCTTGGATCCGCGCTGGGGCCCCCCTGGCGGCGCCTCCGGCGCGGCCACTGGCGCGCTCCGCGCGCAAGGGAGGGGGTCCGTCACAGATCCAAGAAATCCGCGCGGAGCGTCAACAGTTCCGACCCGAAACTATAATACATGCACCTCGAAATATGTCGTTTCCCGAGCGGCACGGCCAGAAAGCGACCGCCACGAGGCATATAGCAGAAGATTTCTCGGCGCGCGCGCGTCGCCACTGGGGGGGGCGACGCACAAATGGTATTAGTACGTTGGGGTGACGCCGTCAGGAGGACACCAACTTCGGGGGCGCCCATGTATGGGGGTGCGCTCTTGGAGCTCTCTTGGGGGCCTCTTGGGAGCCCTGAAGGAGGAGGAGGAGGAGGAGGAGGAGCAGGAGGAGGAGGAAGAGGAGGAGGAAGGGTGCGCAGTCAAGTTGTGACCCAATTATGCGTGCGCATGGCCAGCGGGGGATCCCTCAGGGGCACGCACCGAGACGAGACGAGGGGGCCACGAAGCCCAGGGAGAGTCCGTGGGCCCCGCTATGACTCGAGGCCTCCTCAGTGGGGTCCGAGTACTGAAACGGAAACAGTGGTCGAGCGAAGAGTGGTCGCGCACAAGACGCGCACAAGACGACGCGTGCAGAAGAACTAGGCAAGAGAACGCGAATCGATGCCCAGAGTCCGACTCTAGAGCCCACACAAGACCGCACAAGACATCCCACACAAGGCCTCGCACAAAGCCTCTAGGACCACTCTTTCTGTTAAAACTCGTACATGGGGTCGTAGGATCGCGCCGCATCGCCAATGCATCGCCAATGTATCGCCAACGCATCGCCAATTCGTCGACGATGCATCGGCGATGCATCGGCGATGCATCAGCGACGTCGGCGATGCACCCGCACCATCGGCGTGGAGAAGCTCTGGCGCTACATCGATCCGCATCGCCGATTCATCGGCGACGCGGCGCGATCCTTCGACCCCCTCCACTCGGACCCCATCTGGAAGGCCTAGAGATCATCCTTAGGTCGGGCATGCCCCCCACAGGCGGATGTTGGAAGAAAATTGCAAAGTAGCCAACAAAAAATCAAACACGGTCAACAAAAAATCGAAACACCGTCCCCAGACGATGTCTCGACCATCTTTCGAGATTCCTCCTGCAGAAGAGGGACATGTTCGCCTTAATGTGCTCCAGCCCCTCAGTCACCGCCCCCTCTCCTGGACGCCCCTACGGGACGTGAAAACGACCACAGCCACTGCTTCTTATGTTGCCGCCTTCCAGCCAGCAGAAAAAGAGCAGTGGTGGTGGTCATTTTCGTTGAGTTCGGCACCAGGGAAATGACCACAGCCACTGCTTCTTTTTCGGCCGGCGGGAAGGCGGCGCAGACAAGAAGCAATGGCTGTGGTCACTTTCCCGTCCCGCAGCCCCCCACGGCTGCACGGCAGGTTCGTGTCGTGCCGGCCCCAGCGTTGGCTTCTAACACCGCAGGGATCGCTCAACCTTGAACGATCGGCCGCTGCCGCAACGTCTGATCGTTCAACATCGACCGATTCTGGGTCGCCGGCGGCGTTCAGCCTTGAACGCCCGCGCTGGGGTCGCCGCTGGTCGACGCGACGCAAACCTACCGCACACCCGTTCCGCTCCGGGGCCAGGCGCCCCGTCCCGCGCCCGGGTTTGGGTGCGCGCACCCACCCCGGGCTCCTGGGCCGGAGGGCAGGCTCACCGACCCCCGGGCCCGGGAGCCATCTGGCCAGAGATGCGATGTGCAGCACGGGGTCCCGAGAAGTCCCGACCCCTTCCCTGGGACCGGCTTTTCTTTGTTATCATCTATAGATATATATATATATACATATATAATATATATATATTATATATATACATATATATATATATGTAAGTAAGTAGACTTTTCGATTTGCGCGTGCCATCCTTGCGCAAGGGCCATGCTAGTCTTCCCTGTGTCGTCCCAATCTTAACGGATGGTCCCCGAAAGGAATGCGATCCCTGGAACCGGCTTTTCATCCTGAATCGTTCTGTTTGACAGCTCCGAGGTTCGGCGAGGGCCCCCGGGGGCCGCGAACAGCAACAACAGGAACAAACAGCAGCAACAGCGGCAGCAACAGCAACAGCAACAGCAGCAACAAGAACAATCATGTTAAGACTGTTCGCTCTTACCTGCTCGCGCGTCACTCAACGCCAAGATCCCAAACCCTCGGGAGCCGCCGTCTTCGTCTTCGATCGTAACCATATGGGGGTATATCTTCCTTACCTGCCGCGCGTTATTGGTGCAGCCCTAAAACAAACGAAGAGAGGATGGATGGAAGAAGGAAGGAGAAGGATTGAGCACGGGATGAGCAGGAGAGAGAAAGAGAGAGAGAGAGAGAGAGAAAAGGCTGGAGCACGGGATTCGCAGGAGGGGTGCTGGAGGGAGAAAACACGTGGCAGAACCAGACGGGCTGATCGGGCGGGGTAGACCCTAATGGGCGGGTCGGGAAGGCGGACCCAAGCGGCCAGATCGAGCACGTTGGTTGGTGAAGAGTGCATAGAGGGAATCCCACGCGAGAGCGCGATTCCTGCATTAAGTATGAGGAAATTCCGCGCGAAAGCGCGATTATGGAATAAGTTGAAAGGATATAGTCAGGGGCCAGGAGCGCAGTTTTGAGAGCCCACACGTCTTGTGTTACGACGTGAGCGCCCCCAGAGGAGCACTTCAATCGACAAATGACAACAGACAAGGGGGATCAGCAAAACGTGTCCTCTTTAAAATCAGAACTCAACACCAGCAACAACAACAACCGCAGCAGCAACAACAACACAATTACATGGAGAAGAACAAAAACAGTAACAAACTAATGTTAAGACTGTTCGTTCCGATCAACTAAAATGCACCTCAACACGTATATCACAAACCCTCGGAAACCGCCCATTTCGTTTTCGACCGTACCCCGCTCGGAGAGTATATTTTCCCTTCCTGCCACGTGGATTTAGCGCTGCCACTAGAACAAAGGTAGTAGGACGGATAGAAAGAGGAGGGAGCGGAAGGATCACGAGAGAAACTAGGACGGGGGCTCGGAAAATACAACACGTGCCAGAAACAGACAGGCAGATCGGGCGGGCGGACCCTAGCGGGCGGGTCGGGAAGGCGGGCCCAAGGGGCCAGGTCGAGCTGGCGGGCTGCTGAAGCACCAATCTTGCATGAATCGCGAGGAAGTCTCTCGAGCGATAAGGCGATTCCGAAGGAAATCGTGCAAACAAAAAAACAGCCTGATTGTTGAGCGTCAATGAGCGTAAGGGCGCGGCGTTTGAATAAATCGCAAGTAAGGCCCACGCGAAAACGCGATGCCTGCATAAGTTGTGCGGAAGCCCCGCGCGAGAACGCGATGTTTCTAGAAATCAACAAATCTAGGTTTAGACAAAAACTGGCTGCGGAAGTATCCTGCGGAAGCCGTTGTTCTGCTAATTTGGGGGCCGGGAGGCCAAATCGACCCTCAAGACTTCCCCCATCTAAAAAACAATGTGCAAGCCCCAGCATGGGCACTTCAATTAGACGACAAATACAATGTGCACCGCGGGGGGAGGTCAACCGAAATTATTGCTGGGAAGCGGAAATTCAACAGCAGCAACAGCAACAACAACAACAATAAATTTAAGACTGTTCGCT